CAAATGTGAACGCAAGCTTTTGACTTGTATAAAGGTTGGTTTGCTTTGTGCAGTGACTAAGTTTTACTGTTTGAAAATGTCATTTTTATATTTCATGAGTAATTTATTTTATTTAAGTGGATTTATCTTTGATGACTTATTCTCTGTTGTTCATAACACTGAAAACACTACAAAATGCTAGAAAATAGCCAAAAACACACGACTCATGTACTGTGACTGATGTGCAGCTGAATGCGTAGTAATTTTTATAGGTTTCTTGTAATATACTTTCAATTTTATTAACATATCTAACTTAAATAATTCTAAATTGCTTTTCATACTGTCATGTACAAACTGAATGCTTGTTTTGTTTATGGTTTGACACAGTCTGTGATGATGAAGTGTCATGTTTTGCTGCTCTGGTCACCAAGTTCTCTCCTGATGTTTTACTTGAATGTCCTGCTACACTATTGGACCAGTGGTTGTCAAGCTTTTTCAGTCATGCTCATCCTGGGAAGCCAGAAAATAGTTTGACAACCACTACAGATATTTTACAGTAGGGCTGTAAAAGTGTGTGGCCAAAGGTATTAAACAATTGCATGCTTAATGCAGCATACACCCACTGACTGAATGAGCTGCAACTTGCAGGTATGGTGAACCTGTAAATACCATGCTTTCTGTTATGTCTGTGATGAATAACCTGATGTGTATTGAACATTAAAGCCCAATCTTAACCCTTGTGTTTTCTTGAAATTGATTTACTTTCTCTGTTTGATGTTCTGTCTTCCAGTGCTGTATGTTTAAAAGTGATCATTGCAGAATCAACTTTTTTGTTTTGTAACTCTTTATTTTAAAGGTCCCTAATGTTCTCATAATGATCTATGACATTTATTGAAAGGAGTTGTATAATTTGATGCATACATAGAAAATAGACACCATGTTAGGATGAGACAATCTTTAAATTCACATGAGCAGCTAGACATAAATGAAACAAAAAATTTAAAACCCAAGACGTACTTAAGAACAGTAAGGACAAAATAAGGACTGTACGCAATTTACACATACAGAAATTACATATTGGATATAAATATGGATATGTACAGCTATGACATGGTGGTTATACATATAAGCATGTACAATATGACCTCATGGATAATGTACCCAGTTGTAGGACACAGTGTGTAGAACTTTTCAATAACAGTGCTACATTTAAGTTAATGTTATAGAGAGAAGAATTGTTGTTTTTGTACTTGAAGAGCTTTAGAGAGAAACAGTGGTACATCTTGTTGTATAGGGGGGGGAGTATGAAATGATGTTATTACACTGGAAGAGCAATAAAGTGAAAAAAAAATGTGTTCCATCCATTATCTATACACTGCTTTATCCTACATAGGGTCGCAAGGGGGCTGGAGCCTATCTCAGCTGACTTAGGGCGAAGGCAAGGTGCACCCTTGATATCCAGTCTATCCCAGGGTAACATAGAGAGACAAACACACAAGCCCACTCACACCTATGGACGATTTAGAATCACCAGTTAACCTCAGCATGACTTCTGACTGGGAGGAAGCCGAGGCCCCCAATGAGAACCCACGCATGCACAGGGAGAACGTGCAGACTCCACACAGAGAGACCCCAGGGCGAGATTTGAACTCCAGACTTTCTTGCTGTGAGGTGCAGTGCTGACCACCTCACTACCATGCCAACCTGTTGAATGATATTGTTGCACTGAAAGAGATACAAAGAGAAACAACTGTGTTAGATGATGTTGTTGCATGGAAACAGTTACCATATTCTGCAGTAGTGTTCTTTCTTTTATTGTAGTTGCAGTAGCCTATTGCTAAAGGAGCTGCTTTAGGCCTCCACAGTCTTGTGCAGGGTGTGAGTGGTGTTGTCCATGATGGATGTCAACTTGGCTACCCTCCTCCTCTCACCCATCCCCTCAATGGACTCTAAAGGGCAGTCCAGGACAACAAACTGACCACCTGATCAGTTTGTTGAGTCTCCTACTTTTTCAGCAGACCACTGCATAAATGTCTTTAACAGTGTTATGCACATTCCAAAGGACCTAAGACTTTGTCCCTCTTACACAGAATGTGTTATGTGTACAGTCCAGTTCATCGTTGAGGTGAATGCTACTCTGCCACCACCTTGATGTGCAATCCCTGGATGTTCCCCAGTGCAATCTGGGACAATTTACTGTGGAAGTCAATGACCACGGTGTTTAAGTGGAGATAATTCAGCTCACACCAGTCGACAAAGTCCTTGATGACTTTCCTGTACTCCTGTTCATTCCTCTCTAACATAAATCCAGCTATGGCTGTATCATCAGAGAACTTCTGAGGTAACAGCTGCATGGTTATGTGTGAAGTCTGACGTGCACAAGGTGAAAAAGAGAGGTAAGCACTAATGTCCCCTCTGGAGCTCCCGTGCTGCAGAACATCTCATCAGACACACAGACATGAAACCTCACATACTGTGGTCTGTTAAAGTAATGGGACTGGGCTAGTGCACTTTCGACTAAGTAATTCGAGAGATGATAGGGAAATACTCGCTCCTTCAGGAATCCTTAATAGAAATCTGTGGGAGAATTTGTAATGCCACATGTCACATCCCTCCTCCCAAAAAGCTATTTGCAGACTTTAGCCAAACTGGGAAACATTCAGCAAATCATGTTGTTGCACTGGTGTTATGAAACTGCACATGCCTTTTTTTGCCACAAAGTCACCATTTGACTGGTGATTTCACACATGCAGTTTTTATGACTCAGTGGCCATTGCAGTTATGGCTTCCTCACCATTAGGTAGGGCCTGGGAAGAGTACTACAAAGTGAGAATAATGGGTTAACGAGATATGGTGGGCTTAAAGCTAGAGTTTTTGGTGCCTTCATGGTGTCACTTGTTTCTAACTTGACAAGATCACCAAGGCAACATATATACAGATTACGTTACATTCAGAGTCTCCCTTTCACCAATTCTTTCTCTGAAAATTCTCTATGAACAGTACAGATTTCTCAGCTGAGTGAATACAATATATCTGTATTCTTTCAGGGTTTAGTTCCTTCCCACCATTGCCGACCGCTTGCTCATAGGGAATCCAAAGGTAACTTTTTATTGTTAAGGTCTGTACCTTACTATGTGAAGCGTAGTGAGATGACATAAGTTGTGAATTTGTGCTATATAAATTAAGTTGAATTGAAATTAAATAAATGTGGAGCTAGCATTGAAAGAGCACTGAGTGATAAAATAAATATGTCAACTTATACAATTTACAGTTTTCTACCAGCATCTCTCCATTACAACAACCTGTTCCTCTTAACTGAAGTAGGCAGCACACAATCTTGTGTGGAAGAAGAGTCACATGACATGTTAAAGGCTCCCCTCTTATCTGAATGTGCATAGAATCTGAAGAAGGTCAGGGTTAACAAAGGAAGTTGACAATCAACGTCATAATCCCATTATCTCAGACTATGGTTTTAGGTTTAATTGTTGATTGGCATATAAAGACCTTGGTCATTTGGTAAAAACTGTGAGCATAGCGTACAGGCAAATTGGTGTCTCAGTAACTGTTTGCTGTTAATGATGTTCCACCAGCCATTTTATAATTCACAATAAAAATTAACTGATTCATACTGGGATTTTTATTTTTTATTTTTTGGTTGTTTATATAGTAAATGCTCAGTAATGTTCCTTCCTCATTACTCAGTTAATTTTGAAAGAATTTCAAAGAAGATGAACCCCTCCACTGAGAATCATCTTGGAGTCTATCCTAGCTGACTTAGGACAAAAGTAGAGTATATGCTGCACATTCACACCTACGGAAAATATAGAATAACCAATTAATCTCGGCATGTTTTTGGGCTGCAGGAGGAAGCCGGAGAACCCAGAGAGAAACCACACTACACAGGGAGAACATGCAAACTCCACGAAGAAGGATCCCAGGTGTCCCAACTGGGGCATGATCCTCTAGCTGTGAGGCAACGGGTTCAACCACCAAGACACCATGCAACCCATTCTTCTAACATGTAATGCTGAATTACTCAAATACTGCAACTTGCCATGGTGGAGTATAGAGTTGTTTTCAAATGTTGGAGTAATCACAGATGAGCTGGTGGGTTTGAGCTACAGCAAGTGGCAGATGGGTGAGGGGACAGAGGAGCATTTTTTTCAGATAAATATTAGTGTTTGTTTATTAACTGCCCCCTAGCGTTCTGTCATTTTTCAAAAGTGGCCTCCAAGCTGGCCGAGAGTGTAACATGTAAATGCAACATCTGACCAAAGGGAGACATTCAGCTGTTCATAAATTGTTACTCTTGTCTTGTCTTGTGATCAGTAAATCTCAATATGTAGAAAAATGAATACAACTGTAAACCTACCTTTTGCCATCACACACATAGAAAGTAATGTAAGTTATGTAACTTATTTGATTGATATGGGTCAGTTATACTCAGCTACCTTCTTGTTAGACCTCTGTTGATTGCAGTTTTAAAGTCGGGCTGCACCCATACATTGATCAGTTGTCAGCTAATAAATAAATAATCAACTGCTTTTCATTCTGAGTAATTTTTCAGAAGGAACCAAATTCCCTGATTTCAAAGGGGCTCTTACATTTTCTGTTTATTTATTTTACCAATTTTGACATTTTAAAGACCAAACAACTACTAAATTATTCGAGAAAGTTAAAATTAGTTGACAATTAAATCGTTGGTTGCAGTCCAACTTAAAGTACTGTCAACAGTCATGGGCATAACAACAAATAGTCTACTCAACAGTTTTATTTGACGATGATTTGAGATTTGAGAGCATAGATTTAATTGCGCCTCCAAGTGGATGTATGAGAAGTCACACGCCCTGAAACGCCACATCGCTGCTTTTTCCATCTGTAAATATAAATAAAAGTTCTCATGCCATTACGGTACCCTGATAAGTCTTTATGTTCTAGAGGTGTGCACCCCATTTTACCAAAAGAACCCCAAAGGATGCTGTGCACATGCGTGTTGTGCGATACCGGAGCGCGAGAGGTAGGGAAGGCAGTCCTAATGGCGGAGAATGTACGGTCGCCTTTTGACTACCGGGAGCCACCGACCCTCGACAGCGACGGGGATGGGAGCAAACCGCCGCCGCCACGGGGGTGAGTGAGTGAAGTGGGACTCCAGTTCGTCGCCGCGAGCGCTTGTTTTCGCTGGGAATTTGTGAAGAAAATGCAAGAACCCCGCGTCCGTGTAATTCTAAGCCTTTATTCGCGTGCATGATTCCTGTGCTATTTTGTAGAAAACAGAGAAGATAAATATGTTTTTGTTTGTTCGTGGGTTGCAGTTTTTGTGCCTCTGAGGTTGCTTCTTCCTCTCTCCGACTCGTTTTGTATTTATTTGGAGCCCTTTATTTTTGCTTGTTTCACGGGATAGAAGCATGAGCGCTAGCTGCTGGAAGCTAACAGGCTAACCATGGTTTAGCATCAAATGTTAGCATGCAGCCAAGAGGTATCATCCGCTCCGTCAGTTATCGCTCTTGGCGATAGTCCTTGCCACATGTCAGATTTCTTAGACTGCAGATACATGGACAATGAATTCAGCAATGTCGATAATATTTATCAGTTCTTGGCTTGGCTTAGCTGGTATAGATCATGATGCGTGGCTTATTTGGCGTTGAGTAAACAAAGTTGCTGACCACGACCGAAATGCATTCCAAAACAGTTGACTATCACCGGGCTCAGTGAATTAGGGATACATGTTGTGCTATGACTATTTTGTAGCTGCGTTTACAGTCTGACGTAATAAAGTACAGAAGTGGGACCATATGATCAAAGTAATACCCCTAAACTGCAATCAAAGCCTCCACACTGCGTGTTTACAGTATATTAGCATTTGTCAATCACGTTCTTTGGTTCTTGATCACCACATGCCTGCTGTTTCATTTCCTACTAGCAAATCAGAGACTTATTTACCCCTGGTTTGCCAGGTAAATTGATTGGATAAGAAACTAGCAGTAATATTATGCTTCAGTAACTTCTACAGTCAAGTTATATAGCAATAATTATGCAATGTCAGACTATGGTGAAAAATGTTAATCAGTGTTTCTCAGAGGTTAAGGTGACATCATAAAATGTCTTGTTTGGTTCACAACTCAGTGATATTTAGTTTATTATCACAGAGAATGAAAGAAACGAGAAAATATTCATATCCCTTTTTTTTTTTTTTTTTAAACTGTTATTGACATTTCAAAATAGTGGGCTATGAATTTATTAGTTGACAGTTAATCTATTAATCAGTTCATGGTTGCGGCTTTAAAACAAAACACAAGTCCAGTTACATAACACTTAGCATAACATTTAGCAAAACCATCAATATGGCTTCAAAACTTTGAAAAGGTCTTTATATTGCTTGCTTGTCAAGTCAAAGACACAAAATTGGAAGAACAACAGGGAGACTAATAACTGCTGCCACCATGCTCAGAAAAAAGTTACTACTTTTTGGTTGTGGATGAGTCGTCCAAGTGATTTTTACTTTGCAGCAGGTATAATACATGCTCGGCTCATTGGCCTCCCTCCAGTTATTTACAGAAAGTTCCTAAGCATTGCTTTGCCCAATTGTATCATTGTGCTTGATGAAGATGTGATTTGTTTTTACAGCCGCGTGTGTGGGAGAAAAAGGAAGGGGACACCTGTGAAGGTGTGTGACCGAGCATATGTAACAGAAGATGAGGAGGAGGAGAGCATGTCAGAGCACAGCTACAGCCCTGGTATATGTAGAAACACACACAAACACATTTTGCTACCAGAGCGATGTACCAGATTGCAATGCAAAGCTTTCTGTGTGTAAGCTGGCTAGACAAAAACCCAAAACCCCAGTCATGGTTATCAACTTTCTTTGTTGACCTAGGTTTTATTCACTAGGCTTTGTGTGCATTTAACATGTCATTTTGCTCTTTATCTGAACAAAATGAACTGTGTGCTAAGATGAGTAATATGTGGAAATCCCTTCAGCTTTTAGCTAAATCAAAATGAAATTAATGTTAGTGAGGAGAGGTTTTCTTTAACAAATACAAATAGACTAATCAATTTTCTGATCTGTGTTCTATTAGCAAATTAGGACCAAGCATAAAAATGTGTTTATGCATTTTCTGCGTTACCAACTAAATTCATGGAGGTTTTCATGTCAACTTGGTGCATACAGTTTGCGCTACTGCATGGCATTCCTAACAAATTTAGTTACCATTACTAACTAAATTACTGCTCAACAGGATTACAAATATATTGTATTTCCTATACTAAGAATTTGTATCGCTCATAGAGAATTGTCAGTAAAAGAACAGTTGAAAAGTTGATGGTGCTTCATACAGACAATTTAAATCCTTGTCTGATCATTAATTCCTTCAGAGCAGGTTATCTGTGCAGCATAAGCTACCATGGTGATTTAGCCAGATTCAAAGAGAGCTACTTCTGTGACACTGAAAACTCTGGCTTTAGGCTCAACATACATGGCTTGCCCATTAATCTTGCTCTGTAGTGCACCCCTCTGGTATATTTATTCCACTCTGGTGCTTTTAAAAAACAAGTGTACCATGTTCATCTTCTGTCTTTCAAACATAAGGCCTTTTGTTGGTGATAAAGTAGTAAGGAAGTGCTAGATATAAACAGCTCATTCTCTTCCAGGTAATGGCCAGTACCCAGAGGGTGCCGAAGACCGCCTCCCACCACCTGGCAGTCCCTACTACCTGCCTGATCCAACTCAGCTCTGGTAAGAAGAATCCCTCCTACATCTTTGCCCAGATGCTTTTTTGTTTAGGAGAGTCATGTGTCATTGTGGTGATGAGCACTGTCGCCTCACAGCTAGAAGGTCCTGGCTTCTGGGATCTTTCTGTGTAGAGTCTGCATGTTCTCCCTGTGCCTGTGTGGGTTCCTACTGGGTGATCTGGCTTCCTCCCACAGCCCAAAAACATACTGAGGTTAATAGGCGGTTCTAAACATCCGTAAGTGTGAATGATAGTGTGCTTGTTTGTCTCTTTGTGTAGCCCTGTGATAGACTGACAACCTGTCCAGAGTGTACGCTGCCTCACCCTAAGCCAGCTGGGATAGGCTTCTCCACCCTCCCTTCACAATCCTACAGAGGATTGAGCGGTGTATAGATAATGGAAGGATAGGTATTGTTAATACCAATTTATGTTTTCCAGTGTGCCAGAGTTGGGGGAAGAGGGGGCAAGTGGTGTTAGAGGACCGGTGCTATTTCATCCGCCGCCGAACTGCCGAATTCGAGAAGTCCATTGTGGGACCCAGGTGCGGTTGGTTGTCATAGCAATCCGAGATATTGCCAAAGGGGAGGAGATCACAGTGGACTACAGCCTGACGGACTGGGGCGAGAATGCAATGGTGAGCCACTAAGCTGATGGTAAATTTGATAAAGAGGTTAGGGATGCATTATTATTCGTCTGTGCCATAAACCATCATTGCTCTGAGGTGACAGTCAACTACATTCATGCATAGTTCAAGCAACAATTACCATATACTTTCCTGCTATAATATGTCCTCAAATGGAACAATGGACTCTGGGCTGATTACCATGGACATGATAGAGAGATCATAAAGAATTGAGAGACTCCTTAAAACAATTGACAACAAGAAAAGGAAAAAGTGGCTAACCTTATCCTTGAATTTCAGTTGTCATAGAAAAGTAGATCCTGTCTATACAGAAATACTTTGACCTAACTTGTTTGGTTTTATTTTAAAATCTATGTCTAACCAGGAGGAGGAGGCTGGCCCCCACCCGTTGTCCCTCTCTGTCTCTGATTACTTGACTCCCTCCTGGTCATTATCACCCTCGTCCTCACCGCTCACACACTCTGAACCAAGTGATTCAGATCGAGAGGAGGATGAAGAGGAAGAAGATGATGATGATGACGACGATGATGAAGAAGAGGAAATTGAGGAGATACGGGGAAGAATGCTTCGCCGCCGCAAGAAGCGCAAGATGCCCCCAGCGGTCAATTCAAAGAAGAGGGGCGCACCCACCTCCTCCAGAGGACCAGGACGCCCCTGCTCCTCCTTCTCCCGCCCAGCACCTGTTGCACCCCCAACTAGATCCCAGCCTCAGCCTCCAGTGAGTGCCCTGGCACCCCCAACCACTAACATAAACAATAACATTAATATAAACATTGGCAGCTCCAGTGGTACCACAGTAAGCCGACGGCAGCACTGCCCGTACTGTGGCCGCCACTTTCGTTCCCTGGCACGCCACCTGGAGAAACATCACGCCAACCAGCCAGAGGTCAGAACAGCCATGGAGCTGTCACACCTTCACAACTCTTCAAATGGCAGTGCCTCACAACCCCACCCCTCGTCATCCTCCACCTCTGCTACTCACAGTCATTCCTTTGCTGTTCCTCAGCCCTCTGTCTCAAACCCAAATCCACCCTCTCTCTTCCCCAGGGAGAGGGAATCCCCAGCTACTCGCTCCAGCACAGGCAGCGTCTCTTTCTCCCTTTCACTTTCACCTACGGCTTCAGCTCAGTCTGCAGCTGCCAAGAAGGGGCCTAGCTTACCAGCGCCCACCAGAAAATTCCATGCGCCCTCTATGGTGTCCCAGGTAAAGAGTCCATCACCACCTTCCCCACCTACTCCCAGAAGGGGTCGCAGGATGAAAAAAGAAAAACAGGAAGAGTTGCAAAAGGTAGAGGTGGACAACTTAAGAAATCAAGAAGACCTGGTTCCACCTCCTACACCAGAGCCAGACGTAGATCCAGATGAAGAACTCGAGCTAAGTGGAGAAGGTGAAGAGGATGCTCCAGAAGAAAAGAATGGAGAGATTGTAAGGTGAGGTTGAAATATTGTCTTTCTTTGCTCTGCTTTGTCTGATGCATTTTATCGTCTTATTAACAATTATATCTTTATAGGTGACCAGTTGGATTTAAGGTTGGTTAGTTCACTGTGATTTTAAAGGTAATTTTTCTCTTTCTTCTGTTTCTAGCACTCACAGACATCACATGTTTCCACTACTCTCTTCCCTTTCTTGTTTGGTCCTCCATCTTCGTCACCAACAGCACTCCTCTTTCCTTTCTTTAACCCGTTCTCCTCACTCTGCTGAAGCCTGGCGCTTACTCTGCCACTCCAGCCTCTCCCTGCTCATCCTCTACAATCGACATCGAGAATGTGAGGTGGCCAAGCTCACTGTCCAGGATTACCGCAACCGAATCACACCCCAGACCAACTCCAGCACCAGTTCCCCGTCTGGCATGGAAACCCTCCTGTCTTCCTTTGAGCGTCAGGTCCTCTGTCATCTCCCGCGGGCTGGTGTCTTGGGCAAGCGTGGTCGCATCCAGCCGCTTATTCTCCCACCTCACTGTGAGTCCTGCCTGGACCTGCTTCTTCGAACCAGCCCCAATGTGGGTGTGGACCCCGAGAGCCCCTACATCTTCTCCCGGCCCTACCACTCTCCTGCCACCCCTCTCCGGGGCACCGACCTCCTGAGAAACCTGGCCCGGGCCAGTGGGGCCAAAAACCCAGGTGCACTGACAGCAACACGAGTGCGGCGACAGGTAGCCATCCTTACCCAGCTGCTGTTACTAGAGGAGGGGGAGGGCCAGAGTGGCGCTATCAAACGGCTGGAGGACTTTCTAGAGCGAGAGTACCATGTGACCCAGAACTGCTCCACTATCATACGAGATCCAGCACTGATGGGCCGTGTAGGCCGTGTTGTTCTCTATGGAGAGAGGGAGGGTGTGCTTTTCAGAGGGATGAGTCTGCAGCACATCTGCCTTGAGTTGGACGGTAAGGAATCAAACGATTGCTTTTTGTCTCCAGCTGAACATAGTGAGCCCTTTTGGGCTCATCAGTCGGTATTTCATGCATGGATTTTTGCTTCTTTGTACCTTTTTGTATTGGAAGTCGCAGCATAATCTGTGTTGTTATTTTTAATAATGGAAATAAATTTCCCACCACTGAAGTTACTTTAGACGATTAAAACAAACAAACAAACAAACAAACAAACAAACAAAATCCCCAAACACAGAATCCCAGTCAAGAGAGCTTTGTCCAATGGTGAATGAAAGGTCTTGTGTCAAAATTTAGAATAACAAAAACTCAACATAAAACATGTTCAAAATTTCATTTTTGGCCAATTTTGACACCACCATGCTATATTCTGTTTCATACCCTTGATTTAAACTATGAAAATTCTATATTTTTTTTAGTTAAAGCATTGTCATAATAAATTTGCCAGAAAATCTTTTGATTTTGGAGGTTAAAATACAACAGTATAGAGTTCCCAGCCGCTGTTCTCCTGTAACAGACCACTGCTATCCTGAAAGAATGTAGTCTTATATTGTAAGCCATTTGATCTGGGACTAGTCTCTGTTTTGTTTCTGTTGTACAGTGATGTCTGGCAACTCAGCAGATTCCTTTTCAGAAGATTCAGAGGCAGAAGAACAGAAAGAGGATGTTAAGGAAAAGAAAGAGGTGATGGCAAAAAAGAAAGGACCAGGCCGACCTCCACGGAAGAGGAGAGCACCCATTCCTTCACCCACAGTTGGCCCATCTTTAGCGAATGTCCATAAAAGAAGATCTGTTCCTCCAAAATCAGGTAACTAGCAGCATGACTTGACAGGCGTTCTCAATAATCTGATTCTATGCATTTTGCTTCCATTTTACCGGTTTGTTACTCTCCCCACAGGGAAACGTGGTGTGCTGAAGCGTCCCTGGTCAGAGGCTGAGCGTGTAGCAGTAGAGACCCACCTAAAGAGAAACCTCATCGAACTGCGTGTCCCTGCGAAGGCAGACTGTGAGCGCTGCCTCGAACTCTGCCCCCTGCTAGTGAGCAACCAGCGAGACTGGAGGGCTATCAAGTTTTACGTCCATAATCGCATTCAACTACTGAAGAAACAGGGAAGAAGGGAAAATGCTGCAGCTGTCTGCTAGGGCACAACAGAGATGTGTATAAACCACCAGCAATCACAATGAAGAGAAAACTCTTGGTCATGGTGTGTTTTTTCCTTCTCTTTTCTTTCATGGGTGTAGTCCCTAAAGATAGGTGCATTTCTGATCTCATCCCCCTGATCATATGGGAGTACAGGGCCCCAGACTAACTGCTTTTCAGTGGTAGCACTGGTGTGAACTTTCTCAGTTGGTCGCACCTCCCATCTTGGCACACCTAAACACCTCACTTGCTGACGTCTTCTTACCGATAGACACTAAATTTAGCGACGTTCCCCTAAATGCATCGCATTGCATTGCAAGCTGCAGTAGATGCTTCTTGTTGGCTGCTGACAGGTGTGTGAGCAATAATTACTTTGACAAGAGTATAATAGGGTCTTTTAATGTTCGATTTGTCCAATACGACTGATTGAGGGATTTTATCCAAATGTGCTGTTTTCTGCAGAAATAACTGCACGTGTAGGTGTGCGCTGCTTTTTACAAGCAGAGCGCATTTCTAACTGTAAATGCAGCAGTCAATCATGTTTATATACTGGTGGGAAGCTAAAATCATGGTTGTGATTAATATACATTTCATTTTATAGCCCCACTACTACACAAGCCATTGTAATCAACTAAATAGCATTTTTTCCTCCACCAGTCTGATCATTGTGTTCTGATAAAGTTCTGATTCTGATGAGGTGTGTCTGAGGCAGACTCCTCTCTCTCCACCAGCCACTTCCTCTTTGCTCATTTTGGTTTTACAATAACTAGCTACCAACTGTTTTATTTGTAGAACACAACAGCTAAACAGCTTGTTTTACACATCAGGCAGGGACAGACTGACAGAAGAAATAGAAGTACTACTTTTCACTACTATGGCTAATGCAGTAGTGATGTGGCCGGCTAGAGTGACATCAAAACAACTTAATGATCATCATGCACTTGCACAGATGCGACCACTTGAAAGCTTAACTCGCACACTTAAAAAATTACGTTGCATATGTGACCATTTGGTTGCAGTCTGGAGCCCTGGAATAGTTTAATAAAGGTGACTAAGCTAAGAATACAGGGGGGTTGCTCTATTTAGGAATAGTGCGTATTCAGTGCTGCCGATACTCATCGTCTGTTTTTGAGATGTATTTTTAAGTGGTTGAACAAAATGTACTGTTAAGTGTAAATACGAGATCAGACACAGTGAATGCTTTTTTTTTTTTTTTTTTAAGATTTTTTTTAATGTCATTTTTACTTTATTAGATAGTTGACGGTAGAGAATGATAGGGTATATGGGAGAGAGAAGGTAAAAATAGGTCTGTGATGTGGTGTGCACTTTAGACCACCAGGGCACATTACAGCAAATCGTCCATGGTCTAGCATTTGCTTCCACTGAAGGCTGATGACCAAACATGAAGCTTTGGATAAAGAAACCATTGGTTTTGATCTTTAATAATCCCCACATGTAGACAACAGGTCTTGTGGACTCAGAAATGTATTATTTGTATAGTTTGTGTTTGATACTGACATTGTGCCCGAAGCCCATGGCACCCAACTGACAAGTGTATTAAAAAAAAGTATTCTTCAAAGTCTTTGAACATAATGCACATGTGAAGTGTTTGTGCATACCTTTTTAACATGATCATAGTCAGTAGTATGTATCAAGGCACGTCTACTTGAATTTATTGAGTATCATAATTTAAATATGAATAAAAAATCAACACATGGTCTTATTCACAATGTAAATACTTCCTAATCTATGAAGGTATCAAGTAGTGGTTACAAAGTTGGTTATGTGTTGGTATATGTACATACTGTGTATATTATCTGTACTGATTAAAGTGTATGACAGTTTGCTGTGTTTTCATAAACTGGATTGTAAATGAAATTTTAGATTGGGAACAGTGAAATGAAAACTGACACAAATTCAGATTCCCTATTGATTGCCTTTATTCAAAAAGCATGAAGCTTTTACATTTTAACATGAGTCATTAGCAAGACTTTAACGAAAAGGATGACAAAACATTATCTTTAAAGTAAAGCTGTCAAGGGGTACTAAAGGGTATTTCCAGATACTAGGTCAACTTCTCATCAATTTACTCACATCGTACGCATTTTAAACCCAGGAAATTTACAAAGTGGATGATGCAGGAGAAAATAATCTAATCTGTGATTTATTTAATGTAATGAAGCAGGAGTAAGAACAGCAGTATTTCTAAATGGCAACATGATTTAAGCAGTAAAGTCAACTTCGTGACCATGCGTATGCCTGACATCATTGAATGTGAAAATGTTTGTGCTCCACTCACAGAATCCCTCCGGTTTTCCTGTCCATTTCTTTCGTCACCTGTTATCTTCCGTTTTTTCTTATAAGGAATGATGGGGACAAAAAAAAAAAAAGCCATTACACAACCCTTTCAACCTCCGGTTGCTGTCACCATCCATCCCTCTCTTCCGGTTTAATGAGTGTACCCGAGATGCCACTGTTACCCTGGCAAAATATGGCAGCAGCTAACCGAGTGACGAAAAACACACGTTACGTTGCTATGATAACACAAACTACCCTAAAACATCGCTTTTCTGAAGACAGTTTGATAAACATGTTATCAGTTTAATGTATTAATTTCATTATGAGTGCATTATTACGCATAATCACTTTATGTACTGTCCAATATCGCGTGTATAGCAAATATGGAGGTACGTCAGCTTTCTGTCACCTTTGTCGATATTGTTTAGTTCGTCTAGGAAAAACATGAAAGAAAAGTGACCTATATCTGAATGACAGAATGTTATCACGTTGACTGATTGATGAAAACAGCAGTGTCACATATCCCCAATATGATTTTTTTTAATTTTTGGTTTTTTGAAATTCAATCCTAACACGTACCGCTGTGTTCAGCAAGCGGAACCTTTGGCGTGCCATGTGAACTGGTGGGGGCCTATATGTGTTACACTGCATACTTACGTTACTGCTCATATTCACAATGGCGGATAAGCCTGTTTTGGTTAAGGGGTCATCTTTTATGGACCCCTTCAAAGGACTTTTATTGACATATTTTATGCCAGAATCATGCTACGACGAATTCTTTCTGAATTTCAACTTTTTGGACGGTGAGAGGCTTATTTTTGTTTATTATCGGTAGGCCACTGGCCGACAAAATATAAGTAAACTATTTTAGCGTGTCATGTCATAACGATAGCAAGCTAGCTGCGTTTTCACTATCATGTTTAAAACTAAAGTAAATACTTAGGATTCCGGTGCATCTAGGTTGTCCTTTGACCCATTTGTGTGAACGTCAAGTTCTAAAAGCTTCGCATTAGTTCAAAAGGTACCTTTTTTAAATACAGCTGCGTACAGACAAAGCCGTAACCTAATTTGAACTACTTATTTCTTGCAACATCCCCGTTTGTAACCCGTACTGAATATAGCATTGGTTCAGTCATAGGTACACCATATTTCAAAAAGTAGTCTGTTCATTGAGTCTGTGGTAACTCAGGTCAAACTTCCTGTTAGTAATTTTAATTTGTGCAACACCTCCCCAGGTTTCCTTCAAAACTACTTCGCTGTGCACGGTTTTGCAATGGTAATTTAGATTGTAGATAACTTGGGTGAATAGAGAGGTTTACTTAGAATTCTTAAATGGCCCAGCTGTCGTTGTGCTGTTCCGACAAAACCTGAAACCCAGAGCAGAGATAATGGGTGTCACGACAGCGCTTATCAACTTTATTTGTTAACACAAGTTGACTTCGTCAGGCTCTGTGCGGTCCAATAAAAAAGGGGCAGCGTTCTCTCAATGCCTGATGCAATTTCAAACATGACAGTTGAACATTACCCCTAAACTTTAAACTTCATTAAGAATACACAAGAAGTGCAGTTATATCTGACACTGTCCCATAATAATGAATGACACAAATCACTTTAGGTTTTTGGCCAAATCTAAGTTAATTTAATGTTAGTGATTGAATATTGGCTATGTTAATATCAATAGACGAATATATGTATGTTTTTTTATTTGTATTCTAGTAGCTGCAATACCAGTCAATAAAAGGGACTTGCCAGCAATTCAGGACCAGTCATAAATACATGTTTATAGGTTCTGTGCTTTCCCAACTGAATGCATGTAGATTTTGGTGGCAACACAAAACATACAGCTTGCCTACTCCAACTGCACGGGTTTATTCAGTGGGATTACTAACATACAGCTCAGCAGGTTTGCACATCTAACGTTTTCCCTTAGCTAAGAATAAATATATCATGCATAGAGAATATAGTAATGAAGGGGTTGCACTTAGAAAATATTTGGCAAACTGGTTAGGGGAAGTGGTTGATTTTGAAAAGAAAGAAAGAAAAGAAACTGTACATATGTTAGCCTTTCAATTTTCTAACTGGTACCTGATTTTTTGTGTGCATGTGTACTAATCTTGTTTTTTATATTTTGTATCAGTGCCATGTCTGAAGGTTGTACTGAGCAAAGCCCTGGGGATGGGCATCATACTTGGATCAGTGATGGGTAATACACCTTATTTCCTCACCTTGTCTTTATGACTGGTTTTATATGCATGCATGACTTCGGTAAAATGTAAACTGTACATTAATTCGAGTCAAATCTTAGTAGTTAACTGTTTTTAGTCTGGGTTTAGTCAATGGAACTAAAGACAAACCATTCTGAAAAACTTTTTCTTAGAGCTGTTTGAGATTCTGTGTGTATGTGCATACATGTGTGTACATATACATATACATATGTATTCCTTAAGTGTATAACAGACTTTCTAAACAGTTGTTTATGTTGTTAAGCAAATGACAGTGTTGCTTAAGAATAATAGAATAGTTCTTTATTGTCACTGTAGAAGCAATGCTAAAAAGACAGTATTACAGCAGTGAAATGTTGTAGCATCCTTTTGTGGCAGCAATACACAACTACAAAATAAATAAAATAACGTGAAAGGAAAGATAAATAGATATATAAAGTATAAAATGTAAAATATTAAAGCAAAGGAAGAATAACTGCATAGTTATAGGTAATGAGGGTTATTGCTGAAAAGAATGATGATATTTGACTAGTTTTTAATAGAACATGTTAAGTGTTTTTGGTGCTTGCAATGTTGACATCCAGCCTACTTCCAATTGTTCACAGTGAAGCTTCCTCAGATATTAAAGCTGATGGGAGCAAAGAGCGCTGAGGGGCTGAGCTTCAAGTCTGTGCTGTTGGAGCTGTTGGCCATCACGGGAACAATGGCATACAGTATTGCCAACAAGTTTCCCTTCAGGTTGGACTACATTCATATCTCTGCCAAGTCTAAATGTACTTAGAGCCCTCTGGCATCTACAATATCTACTTGCATAATTGAATTGTATGTTGAGTAAATCCTTTGTTGCTTTCATATCTTGACTAACGTGCTAATTATTGCCTTAGTGCCTGGGGTGAGGCTCTGTTCCTCATGTTGCAGACAGTCACCATTGGTTTCCTCATTCAACACTACGGAGGAAGAACCAGTAAAGGTAAAACTTCATGCACACTCAACAGTTACCAATACTGGTTTGGTAAGCGAAGAATTTTGACAAGATGACAATGTCATCTGAAATGAACGTAAATTAAAGTATTTCCCCTTCAAGTAAAGTGTACTGTGCATGCAGTTGATATTACCTAAAAGATCAAGTGTTTTTGCTTTCGAAAAGCTATTTTACCTTCAATATTTCGACTATTTTTATTTTAGGCATGGGCATTATCAGGGTATTATAGTATGCCTGCATATTCCCTGAATTTCTCCTGTGGGAATCAATAAAGAATTATCTTATCTTATTGTCTTATTTAGCAATCTTAAAGGTAGGATTTTCAGTACTGTTAAAAAATAGAGACACTCAAACAAATACACAAATGCTGCATCGATGTGCTGCAGTACACAGCTGGCACCACCAGAGGTCAGTGTCTAGTTGCAAACAGGCAGCTGAGCAGGGAAATGGCGACTGCAAATGGTGGGGACTACAATTTGGGACTAATAAATGAGAAAAATTCTGCTGTCCCTGTTTGGGAGCATTTTGGATTTAGTCCCAATGATAACACAGCCAACACAGACAAAGTTTTGTACACTGGTGATGCACAGGTCAGGTTTTATACCCACAACTACTTTACTTTTAATGAGAGTCAATCCACACCACCCAACCTGCAATAAATATGCATTAATCAATGACCCAACCTTTGTTGCTGGACAACTATATAATTTCTAACTCTATCATTCCATTTTATTTTTATTGAAAGCCAGGGCACAGGACAACCTGCATTATGTGGGTTCTTGAATGTATGTTTGAGAGAGAGAATGACAGAGAAAGGGGAAGAAAGGAAAGTGACAGCTTAAATGGTATTTGTTTTCTTTTTCTTTTTCTTTTTCTTTTTTTTTTTACACACACTTACTGTCATATGCTGTATACCCAAGTGAAAAAAATAATAAATGGATTGCTTTGCTGGGTTTAACCCATCCTAATCCATGTGAATGTTTCCATTGGGAAATAAAACAAAATCTCAAACCCACATTCAATCCAAAGGTATTTTTTTTGTTGGTTTAACAATGGCTCTAACAACAGTTTGTTTCCTACCTCCAAGGTCTCCTGTTTATGACTCTGTATTTTAGCCTGCTGGTCGTCCTACTTTCTCCAGTCACTTCCATGTCAGTGGTTACCTGTATGCAGGCCTCTAACATGCCAGCCATCATCGTTGGCAGGGTAAGCAAACACAACATAAATCTTACCCGTGTATAATAATATAATACTTGTATTTTTGAAATCATTTTTGATGGCAGGTAAAAAATGCGATGTTGTTAAGCTCTTTTTCAGTCTGTCAGTGCAGTATACTTATGTATGATTCTGTAGTTACAGTCCAAATAGGAACTGCTAGTTGCTAATGCAGAATGACCTTCCATGATTCAAAGTCACCAATATGTAAACAAATGTGGACTGGAGCAAAAGACTGACAATCTATGTGGTTGTTTCAGCTGATCCAGGCGGCCACTAATTTCCGTAATGGGCACACCGGGCAGCTATCTGCTATCTCTGTTTTCTTGTTGTTTGCTGGATCCCTAGCTCGTATCTTCACCTCACTACAGGTAAGAGAACAACTGCATGTGCATTGAAACACATAGCATATTTGTTTTTGCCCTCAGTTCATTCATGCACTATAGTTTTCATAGAACTTATTCTGCAGCAGCAAGTGGGGCAGAATGATGATAATTATTCGTAGGATGATAATTATTTGTTACACTTATTTTTAACAATGGGCAGCATTGTAGTACAACTCGAAGGTCTTTGGTTCAAATCTCGGCCTGGGGTCTTTCTGTATGAAACTTGAATGTTCTGCCTGTGGCTGCGTGGGTTCTCTCTGGGTTCTCTGGCTTCCTCCCACAGTCCAAAGACATGTTTAGGTTAATTGGTGATTCTGAAATGTCTGGAGGGGGGAAGGTGAATGTGCTTTGTTGTCTGTCTCTCTGTTTACCCTTTTCCACCAAGAAGAACCAAGCGCTAGTTCGTTGCTGATGCTAGTGCCACTGCTTAGTTAGTTCAAATCTGGCACCCCTAGGAACCTGTCTGCCTCTCCATTGGCAAGGAGCCAAGTTAGAGCCACACCATGCGTCACTGCATACATAGGCATTTACCAAACAATGCTCATGCCACACGGAAGTCCACACAGGCTCCAACTTTTTTTTTTTTACCAGTGCAACCAACTTTCTCATTTGGTTGCACTTCCACCTTGTCACAGGCAAAACATATGACTTGCTGAACATTGTCTTATTGATAGACCCTACAATTTACGATGTTCCCCAAAAACTCCACATAGCAGGCTGCTGCTGGTAGTGGCTGCGGTGCTCAGACCGGTGTGTGAACAAAAATTGGTAAATGTAAATTTACTTGAAGTAAAAGACTTAAATATCCCTCTTACATTAGTATTTATACCCTTCAGTTAGTAATTGGTAAGCACATTTGGGATCAATGACAGCCTCAAGTTTTTTTGGGAATGATCCTATAAGCTTGCCACACATTTCTTGTGGAAGTTTCTCGCATTGTTCTTGGCAGAATCGTTCAAGCTCAACCAGATTGTATGGATAGTGTTGGTGTACGGCCATATTCCGGCACTCACCAGAGATGTGACGTTGGGTGAAGGCTGGGACTACTTCAGCACTTTTACAGATATTCCTGAAGTCACTCCTGCACTTTCCTGGCAGTATGCTTCAACTTGTTTTTTATGTTAAAATGTAAATGTTGTCCCAGCCTCAGAACGTGAGCACTCTGAAAACAGATTTCAGTCAGGATCGCCCCATATTTACCTGTTTCTTTGGACTGCTGACAGTTCTTTTGACCTCATGGCTTAGTTTTCTCTATTGTCTGATGCATCCTACTTGTATGGGGGGTCCTTGGAAAACTTTTTCAGCTTGATATTGGAGTACATCTGGAGAGTTGAGTGAACTTAATTGAATTCACTGGACATATTAAAGAAAGGCACACACCTGGTTACATTATATAAAGTCACATAGGGTATCTATGTGACTTTATGTAGTCAGGTGTGTGCCTTTCTTTAATATGTCCAGTGAATTCAATTAGGTTCACTCAACTCTCCAGATATACTCCAATATCAAGTTGAAAAAGTTTTTCAAGGTCCCCCCATACAAGTAGGATGCACCAGACCTCAGCTGTGTTGTAAAAAAGGATCTGAAAACCTGTGTAAATGGGAAATTAGTTTCAGTACTTCAGTAAATTTACACAAGAAAATCCCAAAACATAACTTTGCTTTGTCACTGTTGAGTATTTTTTTTAGATTTATGAGGAAAAAATAATGAATTGAATCATTTTTAAGATGAGTCCTTAAATGGGTTCAGTATATTTTACATAAATGTGGAAGGCTTCAAAACGTGTAAAAACTTCAAAGGTCCTGTCTGTTTAAAGCTATGCTGTTTCCTTACAGGAAACTGGAGACTCACTGATGGCCCTCACCTACGTCATATCATCTGCCTGTAATGGCATCATCACCTTGCAGGTTCTTTACTACTGGAACAGCTCCCTAGAACACAAAAAGAAGACGAAAAAGAAGAGAGAATAGCCCAGCCACTAAACTTCCATTGTAAAGCAATGCTTTTATTTCCATATTCAACTCAAGACACTCTTCCAGAGATGACTTTTAAACTAGAAAGAACAAATTGACACATGGAATTTGTGTACAGAGCCACCGGGAAGAGAGGGAGGACCTGCCGGTTCCAGCATCCTCTCCTGCTGTGCATTATGTTGTTATTACATTCCTCTTGATGCAACTGTGCTTATTATGGTCAGCTGTTTTCACATGTGTGTGTTAAATTCTTAGAAATATTGAAATCGTGAATGCACCTGCTTTTTGATTTTTAATATAATTCTAATCATCAAAGTTATTTCCTGGAAATGGTTTAATGCAGGTTTGATCTTAAGTGATTTGTCCACTGGCCATTTTGCATAAATAGAATTTCAGGCTTGCTAATATTTGTTTAATGCTGGATATTATTCTGTCATCTGTGTTGGAGGTGACATTCATCAGATTACACAACTGATACTGTCACAAAGAGTCATGTTTGTACATTTGCACAAAATTATTAATTTGCATATCCTATGAAAACATCAGAAATCTCTGTCACCTTCTTAGGGATCACGCTACCAAATGTTCTGTAAAGGTGAAACCCTACATGAAATTTGGGATAAATAGATAAAAAGAGTTTAACCTCAGATTTAAACTAGATTAATGTGGGATTTATGACACGTCCTAATGGCACCATTTACTGACCCACCATTCACACCCACAAAGACAATTTACAAAACCACATTTTACATAAAATCACTTCCATAGTGAATGCTGAAAAGTGAAAGATTTCTCATTTTTTCCCACAAAGTGAAATAGACCCAAAACTTAAAATGTAACATGTTTAAAGTCTACACCTTCCACTCCCATGTCTGCTGTACCAGAACATGTTTATCCTGAAACAACTTGAAGGGTGTACTACAAAGCATGGAATGATGGGTTAACTGATAATGTTGAGCCTATAGCCAGAGTTCCTAATGTCACAAAAGTGGCTCTTTTTTTAACCTGGCTAGATTAAGGCAACTGATGCTGCAAGCTAATCTGCTCGGATGAGGTAATCAGGGTTTGGAATTAGAACTGGTTGTAACAGGCTCCAGAATTTCACCAGTGTTTCCTACCAGCAATTATTATTGCAGTGGCAGTCCTTTAAAATTTGACAAAGAAAGCCGATACCCACTCTGTGATACCCATTATCTCTGATTGGGGTTTTAGGTTTTATTGTGCCTGCTTACACCAAGAAACCCAGGATTTGTCGCACTTGCTCCTGTCTGTTTAAGTAAATCAACAAATACAATGTTACCCCATAGTAAGTGGACGTAATGTCGTACTGTCACAACAACAAACTACATTACAGCATATTCCTAGATTGGACTTAGATGTTTACTTTGTATCATCTACAATTACAATTACTATTTTTTAACTTAAAGTGCAGGCTACTTGATCTTATGTATCATTAAAAATAGATTGGCACCTCTTGGATACAGATATTAGTGTGTCGTACGGTTTTGGAGAAATGTTCTGCTATTCTTTGCAGATGATTTTTTTTTAGCAGCTCTTTGCTGGTGGGATTTTGTTGCTCGCTTCAGGGTCTGTATTTTTACTGTAGCCTATCTGACCTGTTTGTTGGTTTGGCTCTCTAGTAGAATCCTTGGCCCCATTGTCCATTCATACATTCTGGCACTGGGCTCAGAAAGAAAACACACAGCAATGCTACTTTCCTGGATAATTCTGTTCTGTTGAGAGTGATTAATCTTGTATATTCAGTCTGCACACATACAGTAAATTGTGTAAAACTGCTGATTTGATACAATAATGGGACCATACCCCATATCCTGGGGTTTACATCTACTCCACGTTCTCATACTTGATTAGTGTCAATCCATGCAAGAAACTATAACACAGTGCTTGACAAAGCTGCAAAGTTTACATTGTAAAGCAGCAACAGATAACACATTGAGAAAAGCGTAAATGTGACCAACCTAACCGCAATGCCAGACAAAATATGTAAGAAAATATATTTTTCTTCTACATGTGTGATACTATGCCATCTGACTGTTGATGGAGATCAGTGGTTCTTTATTAACATGTGTGAGGATGTACTGAGCAATCACTGAAGGTACCATAGTTTGTGACAAATTTCTTGGCACACAAATTCTGTCAGTCTGCTGAAAAACATTCTCAAATAGCATGATACAAGCAGAAATTTAAATTTAATGGACAGTGAAATGGCGTGTGATTGTAATAAAGCATGAGCTCATCAGATGTGAATGAAATAAAAATGCTGCTGGAATATGTAAACAAATGGGTGTGTTTTGTACGTTTATTTATTTAATCTTTAGTTGTTTAGGAAGTCCTTTGAAATTAAAGTCTATTTTTCAAGGGAGACCAGCCAAGAAGGCGCCACTGTAAAACCTTTACAAAGATCATAAAATCAAACATGACACAACTGACATAGGACAAAAGTGAAACATAGAACAACCAACAGAATAAGATACACAACACAAAATCAAGTTCAGAAGTTGGTATTGCCTCTTCATGAACAAAGCTTTTGATCAGAGGTTTGAACTGTCCAGGGGAGACAAACTCTCAAAGCTACAGTGCATTCTGAAAGCTATTTCAGGACCAGGGTCAAAACATGAGAATGTTGCTTTATCAAGTTCAGAGAAAATCCTGGGTACCCTGTACAACAGCCATTTAAATAAGTGAAATGTATAACTACTTCTGGTCATGGACAAAAAAAATAATCAAGAAGGGAGCGTACCCAAAAAATAAACCACATTATAAAGTACACAGTGATGTGTCCTGACACTGATATGGTTGTGAAATGTAGAAAGTCTAAACAGTGAAGAGTAGAGGCAGCAGCATGCATCTAGATAGTCCCTCTATAGTTGGGGTGTCGAATCCTGGTCCTCGAGGGCCGCAATCCTGCATGTTTTAGATGTTTCCTTCTTCCAACACACCTGATTCAAATGATCAGGATCATTATCAGGCTTCTGCAGAGCTTGATGATGAGCTGATCATTTGAATCAGGTGTGTTGGAAGAGGGAAACATCTAAAACATGCAGGATTGCGGCCCTCGAGGACCAGGATTCGACACCCCTGCTCTGTAGTCTGAAGAAATTAAGAACAAGCCTGTACCAGTCTTTCCCTCACTGCTAAAATGAAGCAGGCCCTATTTTGCTAAAAAAAAAAAAAAAAAAAAAAAGAAAGAAAGAAAGAAAGAAAAAAAAGAAAAACAAAATATAGCCTGGCTGTCAGTTTTTTCACTACGTGCTTAGTATGCAATCTAAAAGAGAGCCTATCATCCACCCAGATGCTTAAGTATTTGTAGGAAGATACTACATAAAGATGCACTTCACCTGTAAGCATGCCCTTCCTAATGTTTGTTTGTTTTTTTTTTAAATTGTCAATAAAGCTGTTGCTGAGCCTAAACCTTGTGTTCACACACACTCGGTTCTATCTGCAAGGTAGTTCCTGAACCACTCTCTGGCCTTTCCACCCATACAAATGTCATCTAGTCTGGTCAGCAGCAGCTCATGGTTGATGGAATTAAGTGCCAAGGACAGATCAACACTTAGACCAGCACTGTGCTTCTTTGAGTCCAAAGCATTGAAAGCCAGTTATTTATTACATAGCTGCTGTTATGGTACTATGACTTGGTATAAAGCCAGACTGAGTTTCACTGAAGATATTATTGTCAGTCCAGAGAGAAAGTTAGTACAGATAGATAGGGTGACCGTTGTTTAAATATGAAGGGTCCCCTTGTGTTTACTGAGGGGAGAAGATAGGCTTCCTTCCAGAATTTGAGAATGGAGTTTGTCTGGAGGTTGAGATTTAGAAATGTGAGCAATAGGCTCAGCAATAAATCAGCTGCAAAGATAGGAATCCAAGTGTCTGGTCTTTTTTTGAAACAATAGCTCTCAAATCTTCACTCCAGAAATAGGTTTAAAACCATAAAGGACAGAAGTTTCATAGAATGAAAGCTTCAAGCTTAATTTGTGTTAAAAACAGACCCAGTTGATATAAAATGCAAAATATAATGCTCAACAATAGTCTTCGCTCTTAATTTTAGTTTAAATTATTTGTTTATCAATTATTTGAGTATGTGGTCAGGGTGACCAGAGTTGAAACTGAAATAATTTTACCTGTTTCCAAAATATAGAAGGATTAAGTTTTTGTTTGTTTGTTTGTTTGTTTGTTTGTTTGTTTGTTTTAGGTGGATCTTAAGTAATCTGACTTGGAAGCCCTGGTCTGCATTGTGCATTTATTTCTTAGAGCTCTCCCAGAAATCCTAAACAACTTTATAGGAGCAAGACAATGAAGTGAAGCTCTTTGGATATATTCAATTAAACAGAAAGCAATTCAGAGTCTCTGGCTTTATTTCTGGACTGCAGCACAGAGCTACAAAATTTGACTTAACACAGGTTATGATTCCATCTCCCTTACCAGCACGATTGGATCTATAGATATTGTAACCTTCAATTGCACTCAAGTTATCAGATACTGATTTCTTAAACCAAGTTTCTGATAAATACCATAATGTCCATATCTGCTGTAGCAACCCAGAGCTTTATTGTGTCCATCTTAGGAAGAGGGCCTCCCTCCCAAAACCTGATCTGCTTTTAAAATCTGCTGGTCTGAGTATTTTTTTTGCATAGGAGCAGGGTTTGGTTGCACATTTCCATATCATTATAGCAGCAGCACAACTGTGCACTTTAGTTTCGCAAGGCATGTGCTGTTGTTATAATCTGTGTCTCTGGCAATACAGTGGGTCTATCCTTCTGCACACTAAGAATGTCAATAAAAGCATGCAGAGATCATAGATACAGCAAAATATTCAGTTGGAGTTGAAGAGCTTTTGCTATTGAAGGAATGGATTTCTTGGTGTGGATTGAGTGAGTCCTGGTGAAAGTGTCTAAAAGACCTACGTAAACAGTGACATGATGAATATCCACTCACTTGGTTTAGTTCAGAAAAACCAAGGAGGCACATATTAATTAATAATAACACGTACATGTTGCTTTGATAAGAAACCACAGACCATGAAATAGCAGGTGGTGACTGTATAATGGTGAGCAAAGGGTTTCAGGATTGTAAATAGTTGAGAAAGCATATGGAGTAGCAATGCAGAAGCATTGTACCAGCCACAGGGGCCTGACTGGAAAAGCTGCTTCAAAAGTCAAAAGCATTCAGGTGTGCTCATCTCATATAAAGCACAGGGAGAAAAAAAAAAGACACTTAAGTCCACTTTACACTAATACATACTGTAAATGTATGATGATTTATAGTAAAAATATAAAAATCTATCAAATTGCCATAACATATCTGTAAAATAACTTGGTAAAAATACTAGTGTAAAGCAGAACTTAACTGCCTAAAATATAGTACTTTCGTCACAATGTAGTTTTACGGTTATTATAAAAGTTTTTCTCAGAAACATTTTTGGGTCATTCTACCTCAGTTCACTAAATGTAAAAAAAATACTAATCATGCCTGCAATCTCATATTTGTCAGATTTTGTTTTCGGTGCATATATATATGTGGACTGACTACTGGCTACTCAGAGAGGACAGAGCCGTTACTCCAAAAGCAACATGAAAAAGCCGTATTACAGTTTTCAAATGCACTTAAGGATAAAGACATTAACTTTTTGAGACATGTTCTGTGGTCTGATGAAACTAAAATTGAACTGTTCAGCCATAATGGCCACCATTACATTTGAAGGAAAAAGGGGGAAGCTTGCAAGCCTGAGAACACCATCCCAGCTGTAAAGCACAGGGGTGGCAGTATCATGTTGTGGGGGCATTTTGCTGCAGGAGAGATTGGTGCACTTCACAAGATAGATGGCATCATGGGGAAAGAAGCTTGAGAGCAAATAGGTCTTTCAAATGGACAATGACCTTAGGCATACTGCCAAATTAGTTACGAAATGCCCCAAGGACAACAAAGTTAATGTTTTGGAGCAGCCATCACAAAGCCCTGATCTCAATCCCACAGAAAATTTGTGGGCAGACCTGAAAAAGCGTGTGCGAGCATCATAGTGTTGTAGTCGAGACCAAGACATGGCCAAGACCACAGTGCATCGAGACCGAGACAAGACCAAGACTTTGAGGGGTCGAGACCGAGTCAAGACCGAGACCAAGACAAAGCGAGACTGAGTCAAGACCGAGACCATACCAAATTTAACTTAACCATTTTATTCAACACTTATCCAATGTAGTTTTAAGGCAAGTGTAAGGTTGCCTGTAATACTCCTATCTGCAACTGCAAACAAACATTCAATACGGAATGTATCAAACATTCACACCAGTTAATTTTCTTACTTTAACACTGGCATTACAATCATTTTCAGAAAGAGCAGTCAAGAGCAAAATGATCAGTCAAATAGTGCAGCAACAACTTGCTCAGTGATCAGTAAAAATAACGGGGGGGTGTCCATTGTTGACACCATATCAAGAGCAGTGGGCAGCAGGAGATCCTCAGCTGTTGAATGTTTTTTCTTGCGATTCTGTTACAGGGCTCCAGACTAACTTTTCCAGTGATAGCATGGTGCTACCAGTTTTCTTCATTGGTCGCACCAGCTAAGGATCAGGTCATCCCACTCCCTTATTTTGGATCAGCATTGCCACAGCTATTAATGTACCATGCAGCTGATGAGTGGTTGCTTTTGCATCACTAAGTTATGATGCACTGTGGACTCACCACCCGCAGAGGGAGTCATAGGAGTCGGCTGCAGAGAGGACTGGGTGGTGGTCGAGGGGGGCTGCCTCGATGGTCTGGTCCGCATACACAGCCTCTGGTTGTTGGTACGTGGAACGTCACCTCGCTGGGGGGGACGGAGCCTGAGCTTGTGTGGGAGGTTGAGCGATATCGGCTAGACATAGTCGGCCTCACCTCCACACACAGCCTGGGCTCTGGAACCCAACTCCTCGAGAGAGGCTGGACGTTCCATTTCTCTGGTGTTGCCCGCGGGGAGAAGCGGCGGGCTGGAGTGGGCCTGCTCATTGGCCCCCAGCTTAGCCGCCACGTGTTGGAGTTCACCCCAGTGAACGAGAGGGTCGCGTCCCTACGCCTTTGGGTTGGGGACAGGTCTCTCACTGTTGTCTCGGCCTACGGGCCCAACAGCAGTGCAGAGTACCCGGCCTTCTTGGAGTCCCTGGGAGGGGTACTAGATAGTACCCGACTGGGCAACGACAGTGAGACTTGGAGAAGGGTGATCGGGAGGAACGGCCTCCCCAATCTGAACCTGAGTGGTGTTCTGTTGTTGTGCTAGTCACAGTTTGTCCATCATGAACACCATGT